ACGGCGACACCTTCGGCCACTACCACTACCATGCCCCGCCACTGTGCCTCAGCGGCCGCAGAGTGGAGGGCTTGGGGCTTAAGGCTTAGGAAAGTTTAGGATTTTGGGTTAGCATGAATTTTTTCTGGTATTGGAACTAGCCTTATACCAGGTCTTCTCTTCAGAATCCGGAGGCAGTGATGACACCACATCACGAAAGCTCAGCAACGAACGCCGAAAACCTGTGGGAAGCGCTATTCTGTAGCCTAGACACATTTCCGCTTACCAAGATCAACGAAACGAGTAGGAAGGGGCCACCGTGATGCACATTAACCAAGTTAGTCAAACGCCACATCTTGCAACATTTTTGTGGATACAGTTCTGAGTGTAGTAGTTGTTGCAGCAATTTTACCTGAGTGGCGGCGAGCTAGTAAGAACAAGAAGGACACGACAGCAGCGACAATTCAGTGCAGAAATGAGAGTGGTAGAGACCAGTTCAGCGCAGTAAGAGTAAGGGACATGATGCTATCAATATAGTGAAAAATTATGGTAATGAGTAGATGAAGGCAGCATCAAAAATCACGGCTAGAAGGAAACATTGAAACAGTGGCCATGACAACAGCAAAAAAACAGCAACTGGATACATCAGACACCCCGACAAGTAGCAATTGTCATCCTCTTTCCCATCTGAAGTTTGTTGGCCTCAAGTGTAAGTGCCTGCTATCCTAGACCCTCCAACTGCCCTCGAAATAGGCCCAAGTACCACTTTAGGGCACTACGAGATTCCTGGATTGTAGGTGCCTGCTGCATTCCTTGGGCGTAGCCGTGCCTGCGGGTGACTGGTGGAAGACCGGCGGACGGTCCGCTTGGGCGGCAAAGGGCCCCGAGGCCCTTGGGGGGGAAACCCTAAACCCTCAACCCTTAAATGGTAGTTTCCCTAAATAACGGGGACCTCAATATAGACCCCCAAATACTACAATCCTTATGAGAAAGGACCCCCAAACAGGTACCCCTAATCCCTAAACCCTAAACCCTAAACCCCTAAACCCTAAGCCCTAATTTAGGGAAACCCCCAAATCGCGTGGCTCTCTGGGGCGGGCTTGCGGCTCGGGGCTTCGGGTTGTTGCAGGGGTCGAGCTTTGGGATGTCAGGGGTTTAGGGTTTAGGGTTTAGGGTTTGGTTTAGGCTTTAGGGTTTAGGGTTTGGTTTAGGGTTTAGGGTTTAGGGTGCAGAAGCGAGACGAATTCTGCAATGTTGGGGTTCTAGAAGGATGTTTTAGGGCCAGGTTGAGCTTTGTGTGCTGCATCTGGGTTCGTAGTAGAAGGCCCTTCGGCTTCATTCCTTGTGAAGATGATTTAGGGTTTAGGGTTTAGGGCTTTACCTGGACCCCAACAAAGGTAAGATAGTAGCCTAAAACCCTTAAACTAGTCCAAAAGGGCGTTATTCTACGTACTTCTGGGGTTCAGGTACAAACATTTTCCTATAAATCAAGGGGCCCAAAGCCCTTAGGGGGAGAAGGAAATTTACCCGAAGGCTCCTATGCGGTTTCTTTTCGCACTTGTTTTTTTTAGTAAGGGGTTATGATACTACCCGAAGGGAACTACATGAAAGGGTCTGGGTAGTACCTGGAAACTGTGATTCAAAGCTACTGGGCTTCATAATCAACAGATCTTGGCCCCACCAAACCACCAAAGACTTCAAGTTTGCACCCTTAATCTTTGAAACCCTAAATACCCTTATTAAGGGCCATATTCCATGATCTTTGCACCCGAGCCCAAGGGTACAAACCCTAAGGGTACAAAGGAGAACTCCCTGAACCATCTATATCACATGTCTCGCATAGGGCCTCGATTCCAGGAGGTTGGCGTTGCCAAATGCTCTTACTTCGTGGGTTTAGGGTTTAGGGTTCAGGGTTTAGGGGTTAGGGTTTGGTTCAGGGTTCAGGGTTTAGGGCTTAGGATCACTGAGCAGCGCGGGATAAAGCTGAGATTCCAGGCGTAGCTTAGAGTGCCGGGCCTGCGATTAGACGTGTAAACCCTTGAACCCTGCACCTCAAACCTCCAAACCCTAAACCCATAGTATACCCTAAACCCTATCCCCTGAACCTTAATCCCTAAACCCCTAAGCCCTAAACCCTTTGGGTCCGGGAAAGTGGTTCAATAATTTCCCGAAGGGTCCAAGGCCCCAAATTATCGGGTTTTAGGACCCAATACTATAGAATTAATGGTATTTGGGCCCTAAAGCCTCATTATTTGGGTCCTTGGACCCTTAGGGTTTTAGACGCACAAGGGCTGCTTGAAAATCATTGGGAGTAGCGTTGCGACGCTTGCTCAAAGCTGCAAGAATGCATCTTTTTTCGCGGCCTTCAAGGTCCTCCAATAATGTAGGGGCCCGTTGAACGAACAAGGTTTTGAGGTATGTTATCATTCTATCAGAGTCATACCAGGAATATAATTTGTGAAGGAACAGCATTGGCATGTTTCAAGGTCTTGTAGTGCAGTGTCACATGCTGTTGCTTGCTCCTAGTCGCCTCACGCTAGTCGAATTGATAGGTTTGACCTTCTTTGGGGTTAACTTCTTGCAGAATATGAGCTACAGTCCAAACTCCGGGTTATATGGGGGATTATATAGGGGAGTATTTTAGGAGTTATTAAGGCGGGTACTAGGAGGTTAGACTATGGCTCATATGCTGGGCTGACATCATGAGATAAGCGCCCTAAACCCTAAACCCTGAAGATGGAACTTGCATCCATGAATCCTGAATCCCAAATCCGAAGCAAAACCGAAATCCTTAACCCCAAACTGCAGCCCAAACTCTAAGCCGCAAATAGAACTGACAACATATTCGTCATGATAGCAAGAACACGAAGAATACCCATAAGATTCTGTAGGGCCTATGTGGCCGTTACTTTAAAATTGGCCCTACGTACAGTGGAAACCTACAAAATCTCGTACTGGTCACCACAGTTTTCCTGTGTGTTAAGAAGCCCTACGAGCCCTAAGCCCTTAACCCCTAAACCCCGCACCCTCAACCCCGCCCCGCACCCTCAACCCCTAAATGAACTGGCGAGAGCGCCACTGACAATATGCATGGGCGCTCGTGCCGCGTATAGAAGCTGCGGGCCTGTGAGGGTAAACCCTGAACCCTAAACCCTAAGGCTCCCACAAAGTTTCGCACTGCCAGGGACGGGTTGCCCAGGCACCTTCCAGTGCTTCCAGCGGTCTCCCAGGGCCTCCCGTGGTGCTGGCTGTATAAATCTTTTTGTTGTTGACCACAACGTACCCCAGTAGTACCCGTTTTCCCTTTTTACTTGGGGGGCTCCTTATTAAGACTGATTAGTAGGAAAAAGGGTACCCTCATTGTTAAGGGGTTCCTGGGGAACCTGGACCAAGATGGATCTAATGGAGTTTAGGTCCTAAACCCGAAGAGGAACAGGTTTGGGTAGTTTGGCCGCCTGAGACTCAACCCCTAAACCCTAAACCCTATAAACCCTACACGCTGGTTTGGGTTAATGAGTTAGATGGCCAGCTGATTTCGGCCACAGCAGCATGACGCACCGCACGACACGCTCGAAGCGACTTTGGGGCTCTCTCTGCTTCAGCGCTATATCATGGCAAACCCTAAGCTTTTGACCCCCAAACCCTAAACCCCTAAACCCCTAAACCTAAACCCATAAACCCTATCCCCTGAGCCCTAAACCCCCCTAATCCCTAAGCCCTAGACCCCTTTCTTCTTGAGACCAGGTTCAGGTCGGATGGGCCCTGGACGGCGCGTACCGCGGCCGTCATTGTCAGAGTGTGTGGTTTAGGGTTGGGGAAGGGCCTAGGGTGTAGGTTTGGGTTGAGGGGTTTTGGGGGGTTTTGGGGGTTTAGGAGGTGATAGCGTCTGGGGTTCTCAGTGTGAGTGGGGATGCGAAAGTAGTCGGAACATGGGGCTGTCTTAACCTCTTTATGCGCTGAAGATTCAGACTCATGGTTTATAGAAAGCTTTCAGGGTTGCGGGGTTTAAGTAGGCTTTATAGACATAAGCCCGAAATGGTACATGGTGTGCATCTGCACCGGCTGTACAATCCAGGAATACGCATGCACGTCTATTCATGTGTGTACGCAGAGGCAGTATAGACACACGTGAATCTGGATTGAGACTTTTGTTGCCCAAGGCCCATCATGGGACCTTACCGTGCCGGGGCGCTTGCAGATGTTGCAGCGCTTGATGCACCTCTGACCAGCTCAGCAATACACACGATTTAGGGTTTAGGGCTTAGGGCTTAGGGTTTGGGGTTCCAGAAAGTGGGCTTTTTTTGGTGACTTCCTGTAACGAGGATTTCTGTTTTGTGGGCGTTGAACGCCATCATGTAGGGTGATAGGGATTGAAAAGGTACCGAAGCATTTTGTGTCTTTTGGGCGGCTTCCTTGAGGGCCCGGCTTTTGCAGAGATTGCGAAACTGAGTCCAAAGCTACCCTAGACCTTATTTGGACCCCAACTAAGTCTTAAACCCATTTCTAACCCGAATTAACCCTAAATCCTCATTGAAGGTTTAGGAGGGAAGTCTTACGTCGCACCGAATGACACGGACATTGGCACTATCTTACACGTCCTGAAAAAGTATGTAGAATAACCCCTAGCCCCTAAACCCTAAACAACAGCCTTTTGGCTCTTCTGGGTGCCATTGACTGACCTTCTTTTGGGGATCAGGTAGTGCTTAGGGCTGTACAGCCCACGTGTTTGGTGGTGTCTTAACTTTAGATCAAAGCCGTATGTGCCCCCTAAACCCTAAACCCCTAAACTCTAAATCCTAAACCCTAACCCGCTACCTGGTCTTGTGGAGATGTTGGGCATGTTGGGCTGTATCAGGGACAGGGACACCATGTTCCCAGACCCCCAAAGGGATCCAAAAATTAGATCCCCTAGAACCATATGGGAAAATCCATATTATGGGTCCATATATGGGATCAACCCTAAACCCTAAACAATGGGATCTAATTTGTAGTTTTTCCCTGGGTGTGGGTTGCCTTTGCAGGAATGCCACGGCGCAATCGACGAGGCTACAGGCGAGTACAAGTACTACATGGTACCTGGACAAAAATCAGATGAATTTGGAATGTTTAGGGTTTAGGGCTTAGGGTCCGGGGTTTAGCCTGGACAAAACTCAATTGAATTTGGAATGTTTAGGGCTTAGGGTCCAGGGTATAGGGTCCAGGGTTTAGCCTGGACTAAAGTCAGTTGAATTCGGAATGTTTAGGGCTTAGGGTCCAGGGTATAGGGTCCAGGGTTTAGCCTGGACTAAAATCAGTTGAACTTGGAATGTTTAAGGTTTAGGGCTTAGGGTCCAGGGTTTAGCCTGGACTAAAGTCAGTTGAATTTGAAATGTTGAAGGTTTAGGGCTTAGGGTGCAGGGTTTAGGGTTTGGGATTTAGGACTTGGGGTGTCCCAACTGCAATCGAAGAGTGCTTTTCTTGGATCATGTGAGCCACGGTCAGCACCAGGCTTACCAGGGACCATTAAGGGTGGACATAGTGGTCCCTTTGATAGTTTTGTATAGACCGTAGGAACCCATGTAGGTTAATTTTATGGGACATGTCTCTCTAAAAATAATGTCAGGAAGTATTGACTGCAGCTCATGTGGGCACCTAGTTAAGGGTTGAGGGTTGAACGATTCTTGCAGATGGATTTCTCCAACCCAGACTTTCAAGACGTTGATTTTAGAGCTTAGGGGAAGTCCCTGAAGTTCGAAGACTACTGACCTGGCAATAGGTATTGACAAAGCCTCTTAAATACCCTTGGCATGTGTCCTTCTTGTAAGAACAATGGCTTGTCACGGACCTACGGCCGACACACCCGATGTCAAGACAAAGTGTCAACCTCAAGCATGAACAAGTGCGGTTTACCTAAACCCCAAAGGTATGTACAAGAATAGCCCTAAGCCCTTAAAAGCAGCCCAAAAGGCCATAATTCTACATACTTTAGGGGTCCAGGTAGGCTTTAGGGTTTAGAGCCCAGAGACGCTCCAAACACGACCATGGTTGCTTCAGGGGGTTTACACGTGGATGGCTTGTACACAAGTACTGAGTCCTACTTATCAGCTCAGCTAGGCCCCCGGCTCTCCTCAACCCTAAAGCCTGGGTCCATAGAGTTGAGGATTTTAGGGTTTAGATTCCTAATCCCAAGCCCTAGGTCCCAAACCCCTAAACCCGAAATCCTAAACCCTTAACCCTAGACCCCAAACCCCAAATCCTAAACCCTAAGCCCTTAACCCTAAACCCCAAACCCCAAATCCCTAGACCCCAAACCTTAAACCCCGAACCTTAAACCCTGCCTTGAAAAGGTCCTGGAGGCTCCCTTCATGCCTCCATGCCTGCGCGGCACCCTCGGCCGCGCAGCCTGCAGTCGGGTCATAGAGGGCTTTAAGCATAGGAAGTATATGAGCTAGGGATTCCTATAGGGTTTAGGGTTTAGGATTTAGGGTTTAGGGTTTAGGGTTTAGGATTTAGGGTTTAGGGTTTAGGGTTTAGGATTTAGGGTTTAGGGCTAAACTCCTTAAGGGGGATCATATAGGGAGTACTATAGGGGTTAGTAAGGGGATGCTAGGAGTTTAGACTTTAGCTCATATAGTACGGTTCAAGGTTTGGGGTTTAGGCTTTAAACGAGGTGTTGGATTTGAAGGGTTTAGGGTTTAGAAATAGAGGGCCTAAAGTATAGGAGCTATATGGGGACTTGTCAAAAGTATGGGCCCCCTTTGATTATAGATTGTTTGCGGCACTTAATATTTAGGCGTGCCAAGATGGGACCCGAATTTGAGGAACTACCGATATGGCAAGGTTTAAGCTTTAGGGTCTAGGCTTTCAATGTTTTTGGGTTTAAAGGGTTTAGGGTTGAAAGGGTTTAGGGTTGCAAGGGTCAAGTGTCCCAAAGCGCTCATGTAGCTGTGTGATAAGTACTTGGGTCTTAGAGTAGTGATGTGGCAGATCATCTGCGCCCTAGGTAGAGAGTGTAACTTTGATCGAGGGTTCAGGGGTTCAGGAGGGATTCCTTCACATTCTTGAAATTCGGCTTTTTTTAACGCCTGGGTTCCTACAAAGACACAAGGTTCAGATACTATTGTTTCGGGTCATTCCCCCTCCCAGTACCTGTCCTTAAAGGGGGCCTTGTTAGGGGCCTTACTAAGGGGGTTCTTATAACTCCTATAACCCATTGTGGTCACAGTTACTGGAAGGCGGAGTGACCCCACTAATATTTCATATTTGGGTGTGAAGGAAAACGTAAAGCCTAGGCCGAGTCGTGTAAGCTCTGGAACAGGGCCATGTTGAGACAGCTCTTTGAGTAAGGCCGGATAAACAACAAAATCGCTCTAAGAACCGAAGCTCCAACCTTCCAAATAGAAATGTGGTGCCAACAGAGGAGGGTTTAGGGATTAGGGTTTAGGGTTTAGGGATTGCCATAAAAAAAAGCAGATTGAGATCGGAGTTGCCCGACGCTAAGCCCTACAACTTGTTGAATCCTCAGTGGGCCCCCATATTCCCTTGGCCTCGAACCCTATAAAGCCTAGAAATCTTAAACTGAGCAGTCAATCTTGAAGGGCCCAAGTGCTTCATGGCGTATCATCCGGGCTCAACCTAACAGTGGTTTAAGTACCCGGACCCGTCGACCTAAACCCTAACTCAGACCCCCAAAGGGATCCAAAAGTTAGATCCCCTAGAACCATATGGGGAACTATATAAGGCTTATCTGGAGGTTATAATGGGTCTATATAGGGGATGTAATTTTGACATCCTCCCAGGGCTCTGGGAAGCCCTACGCCCTAAACCCTTTTCCGCCTCAGGCAATGTGACCGGCTACAGGGGTCGCAAAGGTGGCGAAGCCTGCAGCGAGGAGCAGAGGCAGCGGTTTTGGGGATTCGTGGGTCTGGGATTCATGGGTTTGGGGTTCCGGAGGTCTAGGAGTTTGGGGTTTGGAGTTAGGATTTAGAATGTAGAGCTTAGGGCTTAGAGTTAAGAGTCTCGGGCCAGGGATTGAGGATCTGGATCGAAGGCCTTGGGATGTAGAGTAAGGTTTAACGATTTCAGAGGCGGGATTCAGGGTTTAGGGTCCATAGGGTCTAGGGTTTAAGGTCTTGGGGTGAGAAAGTTTAGGTCTCACGGTTTTGGATTCCAGGCCCTCAGCCCCAAACCCGGAACCTTAGACCCCAAACCCAGCAAGTTTTAGAGTGCAGGTATGGGGTTTGGTGCGTGGGATTTAGAGAGTAATATGTGGGGTTCAGTGTAACTAAGGGTTCAGGGTGTGGGGCTTGTGGGAAATGGTTTGCGCAATGTTTCTATAAGTGATAGCCGCCCTAAAGTAGATAGAATATGGGGTATATGGGGATCTTATTATAATATACCCCTGACCCTAAACCCTGATTTACCCAAAGCCATATCCTATCTACTTAAGGGGGACTTTAGGCGGACGTGGGCTTCCTGGGCAATGGATCGGCGTAGCCTGTACACGTTAGACTAGGGTTTAGGGTTTAGGGTGTGTAACAAGCCTGGGTGGTTCCAACATTTCCAACCTGATGGGCATATTTTGTATTTGGGTGGAGTGAAACCTCACACTGTGTGGCGGGCCTTAAGTTCCAGGGCATGGCATAGGGAGAGACCTTCCAGGTCTGTCTGTAGGGAGAGCATTGAGGATGACCTACCCCCAAACTTTAGTTGAAATCCTAAACCCTGAACCCTAATCTCTAAGCCCTAAAGCCCTAAAGACCCTAAACCTTCAGACCTAAAGCAAACCTGCCTAAACCACACTTTTTTTCTGAAAATTCAGCGGTGTGCCAGATCGAAGTACCATCCCTCGAGCGTATATAAGCTATAGTCTAAACTGCTTAACAGGGTTCTTTGGTGGATTATATAGGGGACTACTATAGGCTATCCCTAAACCCTAAACCCTAGACTATAGCTCATTTAGCCCTAACCCCAACACCCGCCCTATACAACCTCAAAACCTTGAACCCTTCTAGGTAGAATGTCCCATATCCTATCTATTTAAGGGGGACCAAAAACCCAGAAGAGATGCCTTGTAAGTAGAACAATATCCCACATTTTATGTACTTATAAGGGGGGCTAACCCTATGCCCCCAACCCTAAACCCTAAATTACCCCTGATAAAGCTGAGGAGGCTGGAGGAGGCTCTGGTCGTGAGCTCCGCGACTCAGGGTCGGGTGCTTCGAGGCAGTGGCTGCCCTGGGCACGCCGTCTTTGAGGATGTCAGGACCCGAAGCGTTTTAGGGTTTCAGGCGCTATGCTGTTCTTGTTGATAACCCAGACCCCTGATTAATAAACCCCCTCCCCTTAACAGGAATTATATTCGGGATCCTAATATTCTGGCCTTTAAAAGGAGTGGGTTTATTAATCATGGGTCTACGTTAAGCTTCTGGCTTTTTTTGCTGTGCTCCGGCTAGAGCCGTGGCGTCTGCTTTCTGAGCGGAGGTGCTAACCCAGACCCCCAAAGGGATTTAAATAATTAGATCCCCTAGAACCATATGAGCAATAAAGGGGTGTTATATAGGGGATTATATGGGGGACTACTATAGTGGTCATTAAGGGGGATACTAGGAGTTTAGACTATAGCTCATATGGAAAAATTATGTAAGGACTACAGAGGGGTTATAATGGGTCTATATAGGGGATCTAATTTTCAGATCCTCCCAGGGGTCTGGGAAGGCAAGGTTACAAAGAGACTTGGCAAAGGGGGTCTGGATCCTCCAGAGCATAGAGCACAGGGCACAGCATTTCAAAACATCCGCAAGATGCGTGCGGAAGTTTCGAGTCCAAAAAAAGTTTGGCATCCTAGATGCCCCGGTAATACCCCTTTTCCTCTTTTTCTATTTGGGGTCTCGTTTATAAAGCTGAACAATAGCGAAAAGAGTACCCGTATTGTTACAGAGCAGGTGGCTGTGGGGCCTGGGTTTTTGAAACACCATATTTTGCATATTTTATGTATAGGATGACTTTCAAGAT